GCTTCTGAAATTAACATGCCCCTTCCGGAAAAGGGGCCAGTGTAGACATAGCCGCAATGTTTAGTCATACACTCAGGGGCAGATGAGAGTGCCGCGGGGCCCAAGGCAGTGCCACGGGGCCCCCCCTTTGACACTGCGCATGCGCCGTGGTGCCAAGGTGCATGCGCGGGGCCTCGGGAGGGGCGGGGCCACCGCCCCGCTCGCCCTGCCCTAAATCCGCCGCTGCATACACTATCGAGTTATTTTCTTTGTTTTTGCTGAGCTCCTCTGTGCTGAGTACGTGTACCCCTTTCCCTCCCCTCCATGCACTGTAACTTTTAAACTGAATCCCAGGAGAGCAATTCTCTATCTTTTTAATCTGCCTTTTTCAGTTGTTCTAACACTCAGCCACCAAAAATGCTTTACCAAGTATGTCTTCTTTGTTTTGTTAATAAAATCACCTTTTTAAGACTATGATCTGATTCCCGTGTCCTAGAAGGCAAGAGATTCTGTGTGCACGTACCTGAGACTGAAGGTCAACTATTAAGAAATTTCAGTTTGTTTTCAAGCTCTCTCTTGAGTTTAAAGGAAGTTAAAGAGCTTGGGCATACCCCCAGGAAAAAATTCCCAAGTGCATCTTCCTAGGTCATGGGTGGCTGGTGAAGGTAGGGTTGGGGGAGGTGGGACAGTGCCCTGCCTGCGTGCTCCCCCAACCACAGGGAGGGGAGGGGAGGGGAGCAGGAGGGCATGTGTTCGCCCCAGCCTCCTTAGCCCCGGAGCAACAGGAGAGGAAGGAGGGCGTGTCACGTGGCCCCAACCCTGGAGCACCGGGAGGGCAGGCGCTGGGGGCAACAACATTGCACCTCCAGAATACCTGCAGCAGGCGTTCTGGGGGCAGAGTGTTGGTAGGGCCAGGCCTGGCATTTTGGAAAGGTAAAGCCTTCCCCCGCCTAGGCTACCAGATGCCCATGTCCTGGCTTCTTAAAGGGGTTTTGCATTTGGCTGGTGGCAGCATAATACCTAAGACCAGGAAATCTGTGACCCTGGGGAGTTTTTAAGCAGAAGCCGTTAATGGCAGGATATTTTTAAATCTCTTACGGGCCCTCACCTTCTGCACTGAACAAATCCAGGTAGATGGAATTAGATGGTGAAAAGAGAGATATAGAACTAGAGTCTGAAAGGTAAATGATGTTGTTTTCATGTGGCTGAAGGTATCACTAAAGGGCAACATGTAAGCCCGTATGTGATAAGCTATGGCAGTACACAGACATCTTTGTCTTTGGTGAGGACAGAAATGTATTCTTCTTGCACGAAAGAATAACTGGTCTCTACTGCTTGAGCTTAAAAGAGAAATCCTTTAACTTTGATAAGTAGTTGGCTGTTTTAATAACAAACCCAGGCATCAGAACGAGATATAATCTCACATAATAAATCAGTGTACTAAACACATAGTGCCACGAGAACAATAATATGGTCTACATTAGGTTACTCTTTTTGCTCTCCCAAAAAGCACACAGACTGGGAGTTTACATTACACATCAGGGCTACGTCTACACTGGCATCCCTTCCGGAAAAGGGATGCTAATTTAGACTTTGGAATAGGCAAATCCGCGGGGGATTTAAATATCCCCCGCGGCATTTGCATTAACATGCCTGCCGCTTTTTTCCAGCTTGGGGAAAAGCCGGAGAAAAGCTCCAGTCTAGACATTATTCTCCGGAAAATAAAGCCTTTTCCGGCGGATTTCTTAGTCCTACTTTCAAGTAGGACTAAGCTGGAAAAAAGCGGCAGCCATGTTAATGCAAATGCCACGGGGGATATTTAAATCCCCCGCGGATTTGCCTATTCCAAAGTCTAAATTAGCATCCCTTTTCCGGAAAGGGGTGCCAATGTGGACACAGCCCTAGTCAATAAAGGTGGATAAGTCTAACTAAGCAGCCCTCACAAAAAACTACAATATTCTATGGTAAATGTCCTATAATCCACAGTAACGTTGATTTGTAACCTGCATTGTTTGGGGCCACTATTTATACAAGGGGATTGTGCACTTCACAAACATCAGAGTCATGCACACACAGCGCCGCAGCAACTTAGCAGTGAACAATAAGCACTTCAGGTTTCCAAGGACAGGTACATAAATGTGGATTTGCAGGGAACAAACTAGGAATACAATTTTTCCACCCAAGACAAGCAGGGTACTGAATTTTTGGTTGCATTGGCAGTATCCTCCTACTTCCTTATGATATGTAGTGATGTGATTTTTCATGAAAACGCCTTTTCATTATCACTTCATTTGTCTATCCTAGGTGAAAACTAAAGAAGATTATTTTTCTGTTTTTGAAAAAAGTCTGAGCACAGGGAAAAGTGGGATTTCCTTCCCCTCCCTCCCCCCAAGGAACTGAAATCCTAAAACCTGTTTTTTAATAAATTCAGACTATAAGTGCCCTCAAGGTCACTAACCCTATCAACACAAAGCACAGATTTCATGAGAGCAGATTCACTGTCACGAGTGATAGCTTCCTCATGTGCACACATAGTTTTGTTGTACAGGTAGAACGAGCACTGGGAACAAGTGTTTTTGCCACTGCTGAAAGAAGAAGAGAGGAATACAATCTATAATGGCAAGAGAGAATACGTAAGTATGCAGCCCAGAATGAATTTATTTTCTTTACACACACAACTATAGCAAGGCCTACAATTGTCGGTAAAATGAGTCTTGAATTTTTGCTTGTTTACCTTCCTTGATGCTATCTACTCATGTTTTTACTTTCACTTTTGCACTGACTACCCTACTTTCTACAACTTCCTGTATTGCAAGGGAATCACTAGACAACTGTTGCAGTCCCAGCCTCATTGCTAGTCACTGCATTCTATCTACTAAAATGCACTAATATAGTATTTGGAACAAACACATTGATAAATATCTGGATTGCAGTTGTATCATTTACATAATGTTATTCAGATTCAACTCAAGAAACACATTTCATTCTGTTTTTCTTTCCACAGCAAAGTATGTGAGAAGGGTGAAGGAAAAAAGAGCAACTGAAAAGATCACTCCTTTAAGAATAACTAGAATCGTTTATCAAGATAATATGTTAACACAAGGAAAGGCAAATGCACAGCCTATTTCCAAATGGATAAATAAAATAATACGTTCTAAACCAATTTCTTTTTGTTTACTGATTTGGCAAAAACTATCATAGTAAAATTGGTAAAAATCTAGAACGAGCACTAATTTACCTGAGCATATTGAGAGTCGATATTCATTTCTGGTTTTGACTGAACACATCAGGAAGCTGATATAACATAAATGATTCAAACCGAGTCTCATTTTTAAAATGGGATACAGGATCTGGGCTATGTCTTCTGTGATTTTCATAGGGAATACAATGTGTGAAGATCAAATATTATTCCTGGAATTGCTTTTACTCTTTCCACATGCTGTTAAAATAGAATTTTTCGGTTATAATAAGAAAGAATTAAAAAAAAAAGATTTAAGGCCATTTCTTGATTCCCTGATTCCTTCTAGCATCATTAATCTTAGAAAATCATCACTGCCTCAAATATGGTTAGGGTTGCCAGGTATCTGGTATCCTACCGGACAGTCCAGTATTTGAGCCCTCTGCCCGGTAAAAAAAAAAAAAAAAATCAGACAATACCGGACATGTGTTGACTGAATGATTCAAGAAAAAAAAAAAACAACAACACTGGGGGCAAAAAATTTGTTGAGTAAGAAAAAAAAACGGCTGGGAGGTCAGGGCCAAAATGTGGTTGTGGCCTTTTTCATTGCCACGTGTCCCGAGCAGGCTTCTATCCGCCACGGCGCAAGTGCTCCCAAGGCTGCCTGAGGACTGTACCGGAGGAAAGCGGCAAGTGCTCCCAATAAAAGGTGACGATGCGTACCGTCACAAAAAAAGCACTGCCTGCACCGCTTATGCAAATAAGTGATCCAGGTGGTGGGTTCTCTGCTTTATAGCAGGATCCATTTGACCTCTTGGGAACAGTTCATCTCTGCATCCTGGGACCAGAGGGACATGGAGCAGAGGGACATGAAAGGGGCGGAGCGACACCCCATGATGTCCGGTGGCGGGCCATTTAAACCAGCCCCAGGAGAGAGCCGGGGGGGAATGCAGAGTCGGACCCTAACCGTGGCAGGCAAGGAGACTCCCTTGCAGCCTGACCGGAGGGGCTTCTGGGGAGCTTGGGAGGCAGCGATCCTGCCAGGCTGGAGCCAGAGGACAAAGAAGCGGTAGGACCCGGGGAACTTCCCTGTGAACGGGGCCAGGCGGTGGGGATTAGGAAGCAACCCGAGGCAGAGCACTTTCGGCGCCCAGAGGCTGGCAAGCTTCAGGTTGGATCCCTGTCAGCCGGGTCAGGGCGAGCAAACCCCACTCTTAGGGTCCCGGGTTGGGACCCGGTGGAGAGGGAGGGCCCGGGTCCCCCAAACTCCTCCTCCCTCTGTGTTAGTAGTGGCCTTGGACCCGCCTAGGACTTCATAGGAAGAACCAAGGTCCCCCTGAGACACTTCGGTCTCATAGACTGAACAGGAGGTGGGCTTGCCGGGCCCCATCCTCGGACTGGAGGGCGAGGGCTCGCGCCCATACGGCTGCCTTTGGGGAGAAACAGAGACAGGCTGGGGGCTCACAGGGCCCCACCCGGGACAGGGCGGGTGCTCGCGCCCAGGCACCTATCACAATTGGCCATTCTCAATATCAATGTTGATAACAAATAAACGTTTCTGCTGAAAAGATTCATCCTTTTGGCGTCTTTGTCATTGGCGTTGTTTTTATATTGTGGGGTCTTGGCCCTCTGCTCTGCCACATCAACCACAATGGAATTAGGTTGAGAATGTGTAGGTTGAGGTTGAGGAGGTGAAGAGAATTAGGCTGAGGAGGTGAAGAGAAAATCCATCATTTTGGTGGGCACGAAATATTTCTTATCTGCCCTCTTATTGGTTGCGGGGACTGACGCAGATGTCTGCCATATGTTATCCACAGCCTCTAAAATAGCCTCATGAAGGGGCAGGTCGACCTTTGATTTTTGGGAGGGATGTAACTTTTTCAAGAGAGGGTGTTGCTTCCGTAAGTTGGACCTCCTGACTAGCAGCAACTTGCTTAAAGAGGTCCTGAAACTGTCAGAGGTCATCAGTCAGTGATGAATCCCCCGGAATTATTGCCTCATTGGATGAAGAAGATGGATACATCGGGGAAACTCGTGGTCGTGGTCAGAAAGTTGACCTTCTTCAGGTTTAGAGTTGGGGCGGCTGGGATGTAATTTGTGGGGAGGGTGAGAGCGGTGTCAGCTAGAATAGGAAAGGCCACACAGCTTCATTGTGAATCTGATCAGTGACAGCAAGGTGACCAGTGCCGAGAATAGTGCAACAAGATAGAATGATGTGCTGGATGATGACATTCATAATAGGTGTAACTGCAGTGGCGACTGTAGTAATGCCTGGTAGGCAAGGAGTGCCTGGAGGAGAAGGTGCTCCTGTCATCATCGTGATAGTGAGCATATCCCTACAGTGTGGGCGATCAGGATCTGGGTCTTGACGATACAGGAGACACAGATGTGTGCCGGTGCCGACCGTAATAATGAGGTGAAAGGGAACGGTGTGCTGTTGCACCATAGTATTCTGCAGTAGTGCGGTGTCTTGGAATGTGAACAGGTGGAGGTGATGGTGCCAGTGATGGAGAAAGAGGCTCTGGAGAAACAGTGATGTGTTCAGGACTGGGGGAGGGGATAGCAACCCTATGTGATTTAGGCTGGGCCTTAGTCGGTGCCGAGGGCTGTGCTGATGCCATCTCCAATGGATGCTGTGAAGTAGAGGCTCTGTCCAGTACCAACAGCAGTGCCAGCAACAGATGCACTGCGGCAAGCAGTGCCGGTGCGGAATGTACCACTGGTACCGAACACTCTGTATGTGCCAGCTATACTGACAGTACTGGCCTGACTATCGGTGCCGACTCCCGCGCCATAGGTGCCGCCTTGTGGGTCGGTGGCAATTTCTGCACTGGGATGGGATCCAGTGCCAATGTACAGAGACCCATCTTCATTTTGTCAGGACAGCAGGCAAGAACCATGTCCGAAGTGCCCAGTTTGTCACTGACGCTGACACGGGTCGGTGGCAGAGATCTGCCGGAGAGGGTCTCTTCTTTGCCAAATGGCGAGATCCCAGCGAAGTGGTCCGGTGTTTGTCGGCTCTAGTAGAGTCTGACCGGGGTGGGGTGGCTCCATCCGTGAGGGCTGGAGTGCTTTGTCAAACAAAAGCATCCTAAGCCTCATTTCCCTATCATTTCTTGCTCGAGCTGTTAATTTAGAGCAATGAGGGCACTTTTGAGAAATATCCCCTTCTCCCAAACACCGAATACAGCCGTAGTGCGCATCTGACGCAGGCATCGGGTCCTGGCAGGTGTCACATTTTTTAAACCCGGGTGATCCGGGCACGGTTGCGTCTTCTCCTTTTTTTCTTTTTCTTGCTGTTTTTTTTTTTTTAACGGACAGTACTGAGACATTTGTCTTTCCCTTCTTTCTCTCTAGCTTTTTTTCCCCCAATTATATAACTAATAAAACTATTGTTGAAGACTAAGTAACTATCTAACTACTACTGAGAACTACTACTAACAGTAAGAACTAATGAACAACTAATTTTTTGTTCTGACAGGATTTGAGGAGAGGGAGCTCACTCTGTCTGGAACCGAGGATCGTTAGGAGGAACTGGTGGGAGCCGGACTGTGTGCTCTAAGAAACTGCATGAACGGCACGAGGCGCCTAGCACACATGCACGGTCCGGCAGACCACTGTTGACGAATCTCCAATCTGTAGCATCGGAACAAGCCTGATACCTTCAGAGGTGCACCCATGGGGACATCACTTGAAGAAGCAGCTATTTTTCTCCCAAAGAAGCAGCTTAGAAAATGGTAGAATGTTATCAAGAAATATTTACCTTAAAGAATAAAAAATAAAGACTTTATTATAGGTAGATGCTAGGATCTCTTTTTCCTCCTGGCCTCTTTTCTTCTTTCATAAGGAAGACAAATCACTGGAGTTTAGACATTAAAAAAAAGTAACAACCATTATTTTGGGGCAATATATAGTGTAGCAGACAGTACATCAGTCAGTTTGCTTTACTGAACCTATGAAATGATGCTTTAACTTTCAGTACTGCTTCTGTCAGCCTAGAAAAGATGTAATTTCTCAGCTCTGGAGTACAACCAATAATAATGTCATGCGCAAAATTATGTTTATTGTCTGTGCTGTGCGTACAATCGCCACCACATTTGTCCCATGTTTAGTACTCTGCCCGTGTTCTACTTAAAAAAACCCACACAAGTCAAGAACAGTGAAACCTGTGCGAATCTGGGGGAAGCTAGTTCAAAAACCCACTATAATGGAATCCTAAAAGTGCATTATTCCGTTGCTTTTGCAACTGCAATTCTGTGACACAATGGCAACCAGTGCAGACCAAAACCTTCAGAGCTCTTCCATTTCCTCCTGCCCGCCGCTTGGAGAACAATCACAACTGAGTGGGAGTCCCACTTTCCTCCTAACATGAATAGAGGGTGTAATGCAATCTGAAAAAGTCTTGAGGTGAAGAATTTAACCCATTCCAGCAAAGACTTCCTCATATAGGACAAACCCAGCACACTTTTCTTAAGAGATGTCAAGCTGGGCAGTATGGCCTTTGTCACAAGCAGAGGGCAGAGTTAGTATCAGGTTTGACACACAGAGGGTGTGTCTAGACTACATGGCTCCGTTGACGGAGCCAGGTAGATTAGGTTTCTAGACATAGGGAAATGAAGCAGCAATGTAAATAATCACCACTTCATTTACATCAAAATGGCTGCTGCGCTGTGCTGATCAGCTGTTTGGCTGCACAGTGCGGTAGTCTGGACGCTCCATGGTCGACAAGGGAAGTCCTTGTTGACCGCTACCACGGAGCATCCAGACTACCGCGCTGTGCTGCCAAACAGCTGATCAGCACAGCGTGGCACCCATTTTGATGTAAATGAAGCGGTGATTATTTAAATCGCCACTTCATTTCCCTATGTCTAGAAACCTAATCTACATGGCTTCGTCGATGGAGCCATGTGGTCTAGACATACCCTGAGAGCAGATGGGAATCCCAAGAAGGTTGACAGCCCCTCATCAAGCTGAGATAGATATCT